AAACGCGGCGCTATCAGTGTGAATGAGCTGGAGTCAACGGTGGTTGTGATAATAGTTCAAGCATCTAATTTAATACTCTGCCCTATCAAATATCTTTGATTAATCAAAACGAATAATTAGAGGTGGCAAGAGATTATAAATTCATAATATATATTATTGTTGAGAACCCCTCCGTCAATAGATTGGTAGCTACATAGTTGACTTGGATTAAAACTTTTAGCTGATTTTAGATCTATTTTTCCTTTGGCGTTCTTGTATTGGTTCATCGTATGTGATTGACGACGAGTAGTTGTTATGGCTGAAGCATTTGTGTCGTTTGGAGTTGAGAAGCACTACAAGAAAAATTTACATTCTTAGCGCGGAAAAAATGCTATCATAGGTAATACATAGCGAAATAACAACTGCTATGATCTCGGCAGCTATGGTAGATGTCCCACCTACGATAGCATTAATTTTGTCTGCTATAGTATGTTCATATACAATAGCACTTTGTTAGTGTTATTATTTACGTTTTCATAGCAATAATTTATTGCCATTATTTAGTTGTTCATAGCAATTTATGAATTTTTTCAATTTTTTTTGATAATTCAAATTGGGTGCTATAATAGATCACTATACAATAGCAAATATTTGTTGCGTTAATTCATGTTTTCATAGTGCCATCTTTAAAAATATAACATGCTATCATATGTAATATATACTTATATATATATATATATATATATATATATATATATATATATATATATATATATAACCTGTAAATTTAAAATGAAACCATTTATAACATCTCAAAAACATTCCAACATACTTAAAACACTTCCGCATCATACCAAACAGAATTCCGAATCCAACATACCAAAAACAATTCCAAATCCAACATACCAAACATTAAACATTCTGAATCCAAAATACATAAAGACTAGTCTTAACCTAAATTAAGCTAGCTGGACCAAAGTTGCTTCATCCCCTGCAATTAATAATGGACATTGTCTTATATTAGTTTTGCACCTGAAAAACCAAAAACACAATTATCAAAATAAAAAATACTTACCTCAGTTGGACGATAGTCAATACATGACCAAGTTATCAGTTGGCCATGCGATAAATGAACCACGTGCATCTTTCATATACTCAATCTC